CTGGACCAGGTGGTCATGCCTATAATCCCAATGTTTTGGAGGCCCAGGTGGAGGATTGCATGAGGCCAGAAGTTCGAGACCAGCCTGGGCAATATAGTAAAATCCCATCTCAGAAAGAAAGAAAGAAAGAAAGAAAGAAAGAAAGAAAGAAAGAAAGAAAGAAAGAAAGAGAAGAAAGAAAGAAGAAGAAGAAAGAAAGAAAGAAAGAAAGAAAGAAAGAAAGAAAGAAAGAAAGACAGAAAAGAAAGAAAGAAAGAAAGAAAGAAAGAAAAAGAAAAGAAAGAAAGAAAGAAAGAAGAAAGAAGAAAGAAAAGAAAGATAAAGAAAGAAAGAGAGAGAAAAGAAAGAAAAGAAAGAAAAGAAAGAAAAGAAAGAAAGAAAAGAAAGAAAGAAAGAAAGAAAGAAAGAAAGAAAGAAAGAAAGAAAAGAAAGAAAGCCAGGTATGGTAGCATGTACCTGTAGTCCCAGCTACTTGAGAAGCTGAGATGGGAGGATCAGTTGAGCCCAGGAATTTGAGGTTGCAGTGAACTGTGATTGTGCCACTGTACTTCAGCCTGAGTGATAGAGTAAGACCCTGTCCCAAGAAAAAGAAAGAAAAAAAAAAACCCAGCAACCAGGCACGATGCCCCATTCCTGTAATCCCAGCACTTTTGGAGGCTAAGGTAGGAGGATGGCTTGAGGCCAGGAGTTGGCAAGCAGCCTGGGCAACATATTGAGAACTTATCTCTACTAAAAATTAAAAAATTAGCTAAGCATGGTGGTGCTCACCTATAGTCACAGCTACTCAGGAGGCTAAGGTGGGAGGATCGCTTGAGCCCAGGAGTTTGAGGTGGCAAAAAGCTATGATTGAGCCACCGCCTCCAGCCTGGGCAACAGACTGAGATCCTGTATCACACACACAAAAAAGATGATTCGAGAAAAGCACCAGCTGGGCACAGTGGCTCACGCCTGTAATCCCAGTGCTTTGGGAGGCCGAGGTGGGTGGATCACCTGAGGTCAGGGGTTCAAGACCAGCCTGACCAATATGGTGAAACCCTGTCTCTACTAAAAACACAAACAAACAAACAAACAAAAAAATCAGCTGGGCGTGGTGGTGTGTGCGTATAGTCCCAGCTTGTCAGGAGGCTGAGGCAGGAGGATTGCTTGAACATGGGAGGTTGAGGCTGCAGTGAGCCGAGGCGCCATTGCACTCCAGCCTGGATGACAGAGTGAGACTGTCTCAAAAAAAAAAAAAAATTAAAAAAAGAAAGAAAAGAGAAAAGCACATCACAAAAGACTGTATTCAAATCATTTGTCATTTATATAAAGCTCAAAAATGAAGCAAAGTTAGGAAAAATGTAGGGGTCCATAGGTAGTGAACCTATTTTTAAAAGTAAAGAAATGATAAACTCAAAATGTAGCACTATGTAGACGGGAAGGCCGGAAGATGGGGAAGCCGAGAGGAAGCTTCAGAGACAATGACTATGGTAGTTTTTAGGTTGCTGGGGTCTCCCGGGTATTTTATGCTTCATAAATGAACTTTTATATATGTAGCTTTTACATACATTACATACATGAATTTGCATGTATTCAATATTGTGTAATGCATTAAAAACAATGTTTGCAATGCTAAAAATACGTTGTTGAAGATTCTACGTGAAAGCTATGCTGTAGTTGGGGCTTTTCACAACCCTTTCAAGCCCTCTCGGCAAGAGCAGTCCTCCCTTATTGCCCTCAGTGAACTTCACCTTCTAGGGACTCAGATTTTCTTTTTTTTTTTTTTTTTTTTGAGATGGAGTCTCGCTTGTTGCCTGGGCTAGAGTGCAGTGGCACGATCTTGACTTGCTGCAAGCTCCACCTCCAGGGTTCAAGTGATTCTCCCGCCTTAGCCTCCTGAATGGCTGGAATTACAGGCATGTGCCACCATGCCTGGCTCATTTTTGTATTTTTTAGTAGAGATGGGATTTCACCATGTTCACCAGGTTGGTCTCGAACTCCCGAACTCAGGTGATCCACCTGCGTTGGGCTCCCAAAGTGCTGGGAATACAGGTGTGAGCCACTGCGCCCAGCTGGGACTCAGATTTTGCTGACGACCGGGAGAGTACTGTGTGCCATATCCTGGTCCGGCAGCAGCAAGTGAGTCTCCCATCTCTCAGGGCAGTCTCCGGGATGCCTGATGGTGAGTGTATTCCTCGCTGGTGCCTGGCTGCTGCAGCCTCCTCCAATGTTTATCAAACATAGGACTTGCCTGCTGTGGGGGAAAGTAAGACCATAGGGGTCTCAGGAACCTGCCCAAACTTGCCTGGCTGCACAGTGACAATTCAACCAGCTTTCTTACCCGAGCTCCAGGGCTCTGATGGTGACGAGAGAAAACCTTAGATGACCTACTGCCATGCTGGCCTCATATTTGTCTCTTTTCTGCCGGGCTTGGGGCAGAGGGTACCAGGGAGGAGGACTCTGGCTCCAGGTGTTAAAGTGAGAGGGAAGGGCATCTGTATAGCTAGGCAGGGCCCAATGCCGGGCAGAGCTGTCTCTGCCCCTTTGATGCCTTTGTCCCTGTCCCTGAACTGTGGCCAGTAGCCAGTGTGGACTCCAACCTCCCCCAGCTTTGGGAGTGTTATCTGCCTGGGAGTCACTGATCTTACTCCCTCCTCTGACAGCCACCTTGGATGAGGAGAAAGGAAGGACAGTTTGCCAAATATGATACTAAAATGCCTCATAAGCAGCCAGACGTGGTGGCTCACACACTTTGGGAAGCCGAGGCAGGCGGATCACAAAGTCAGGAGTTTGAGACCAGCCTGGCCAATATGATGAAACGCTGTCTTTACTAAAAATACAAAAATTAGCCAGGCATGGTGGCGCACGCTCGTAGTCTCAGCTATTTGGGAGGCTGAGGCAGGAGAACCGCTTGAACCCGGGAGGCAGAGGTTGTAGTGAGCCGAGATCGCACCATTGCACTCTAGCCTGGGCGACCAAGCAAGACTTCGTATAAAAAAAAAAAAAGTGGCTCATGACTGTAATCACAGCACTTTGGAAGGCCAAAGTGGGCAGATCACAAGGTCAGGAGTTCAAGACCAGCCTGGCCAACATGGTGAAACCCTGTCTCTACTAAAAATACAAAAATTAGTCAGGTGTGGTGGCACACGCCTGTAATCCCAGCTACTTGGGAGGCTGAGGCAGGAGAACCGCTTGAACCCGGGAGGCAGAGGTTGTAGTGAGCCGAGATCGCACCATTGCACTCTAGCCTGGGCGACCAAGCAAGACTTCATATAAAAAAAAAAAAAAGTGGGGCCGGGCACGGTGGCTCAAGCCTGTAATCCCAGCACTTTGGGAGGCCAAAGTGGGCAGATCACAAGGTCAGGAGTTCAAGACCAGCCTGGCCAACATGGTGAAACCCTGTCTCTACTAAAAATAAAAAAATTAGTCAGGTGTGGTGGCACACACCTGTAATCCCAGCTACTTGGGAGGCTGAGGCAGGAGAATCGCTTGAATCTGGGAGGCGGAGTTTGCAGTGAGCCAAGACCGTGCCATTGCACTCCAGCTTGGGTGACAAAGTCTCTGTCTCAAAAAAAAAAAAAAACAACCAAAAAAACCAGCAAAGCTAAAACCAAAACAGAACAAAAAAACATCTCATAAGCAAGAAGGGCTTTGCAGGCCGGGCAGAGAGCCCTGTGCTGCTTCTGAGTCCAGGGGTATGGGCGAGGAGGTGGGGTCAGGCACTCGGTGGCTGTTGGTCCTCTCTGAGATCTTTGGCCAGATTTATTGCTACCGCTTGCTGATGAATGGTTATACATTTGGTTTGAAGGACCAAGTGTGCTTACATGAAACTGGCTGTGTTCCCTGGCCTCTGTTTCCTTCGCTGATTGGACTAATTTGATTGATTGGTTAATAAATGAGTCCAAGGTGGCTGGGCTAATTTTTATCTTAGATTCTATGAATCTATAACTTCTACCAAAATAGTTTACTTGTTCCTTTAATCTTTAATCTCCTTTTTCTTGAGTAGTAAAATACACCCAGTTTTTTTTCAAGGAGTAGAGAATGCATTTTTTGGTTTTGGTTTTTTTTTTTTTTTTTTTTTAGAGAATGCATGTTTTTTAACCTTCCGGTTTGGTCCCTGGAGTAAACACAGCATTGCTCTAGGTGGTTTAGTCGGTGACGTAGGTACTGGAGGGAGCATGGAACAGGGAATCAGAAGCCTGGTTCCCACCCCAGCTGTGCATCTGGGCCAGCCTCCTGATTCTTCTAGGCCTCCGTTACCACCCGTATGACGAGCATTCTGCCATGAAGACCCTGCATTTGAAGACGTCCTGTGTACTTGTGCATGTGGGTGCCTGGCACTCATCCCTACAGGCGTGTGTTCATTCACACATTCATCAGGTGCTCAGCAGGCCCCTGCCATGGGCCAGGCAATGTCCTGGGCACTGGAATATCATGGAGAACAAAGCAGGGTGCCTATTTCCATGGTGCTTGGAGTTTTGAGGGGAAGAGAGACACAGGATTGGTAACTACATGGCAGTGTGTGGGTGATGTAGTGCTGAATGAGGGCCTCGTGCAGCTGGGGGAGCAGAAGCGATGTTTAGGCCGAGACCTGGAATAGAAGGGGGTCATGGGGATGATGTGGGAAGAACGAGTGTGAGGAGGAGAGTGAGGGGAGCTGAGGGGAAGGCTCCACACCTTCTAAGGAGTGGGGAGAGATGAGGCCTCCAAGGACAGCAGGGCTGTGCAGGCCACACTGAGGAGCGTGGACCTCATCCTGTGGGCAGTGGCAGGCCCTTGAAGGGTTTTCTAATCCAGGGAGTGGGGTGGCTGGATCGTTGCTTCAGAATGCTCTCCCAGGCAGCTGAATGGTGGGGACCAGGTGGGGGGTGCCACCAGAAGACTGCTGCCTCAATCCAGGCAGAGGTGAAGGCGGCCTGGACCCCTTCATGATTAGCACTGAGGCCTCTCGTGGCTTTCTCAGATCAGAACAAAGCTGCTTCTTCAGTGGCTGTGGGCTTACGGAGTGTCTCCTCCCTCCCCAGAGGTGGCGAGAGGCGTGCTGACCAGCCTGCCGGGAGACAATGTGACCCTGACCTGCCCCTGGGGAGAGCTGGAAGACAATGCCACTGTTGACTGGGTGCTCGAGAAGCCAGCTGAAGGTGCCCACCCCGGCAGATGGGCTGGCATGGGAAGGAGGCTGCTGCTGAGGTCGGTGCAGCTCCACGACTCGGGAAACTATTCCTGCTTCCAGGCTGGCCACCCAGCTGGGACTGTGCACTTGCTGGTGGATGGTAAGTTGTGCCTCAGAGCTCCCGGAGACAGTTCCCCTAAGAAATGAGGCCCTGTGCATTCCAGAGACAGTCCCTGTCTGAACCTTCAAACTCCTGCCATTTCCTTGGTGCAAGAATTTTGGGGAAGGCCCACAAATGTCTGCCAGCTAGATGCCGGCCAAGACTGTGGCTGGGTGGGGTGTCTTACTGATGGGGAACGTTGGCTTTGGGAGTTAGGACTTCTGGTGAACTGAATAGTCTGGGGCCCCGAGACAGGGAGCCTGGGTTTGAATCCTGCCCCTCACATACAGTTTCACTTCACCACCCCTCAGTTTCATCTTTGGCAAAATAAGGTCAATTTTTTTTTTTTTTTGAGGTGGAGTCTCACTCTGTTGCCCAGGCTGGAGTGCAGTGGCACAAACTCGGCTCACTGCAACCTCCATCTCCTGGGTTCAAGCAATTCTCCTGCCTCAGCCTCCTGCGTAGCTGGGATTACAGGTGCCTGCCACCATGCCCGGCTAATTTTTGTATTTTTAGTAGAGATGGGGTTTCGCTATCTTGGCCAGGCTGGTTTTGAACTCCTGACCTTGTGATCCACCTGCCTCAGCCTCCTAAAGTGCTGGGATTACAGGCGTGAGCCACTGCGCCCGACCCTATATGGTTAATTTTATTACCTTACCTTAGAGTTGTTGCAAAGGAATTCTATGTGAATTTGCATATGTGTGTGTCTGTGTGTGTGTATCACACACGTGGTGCTAAAAAGTCTGCATAACGCATCCTAAGCTCTCAAATTAGCTATTCTTATTTTTTTTAGAATTAGCAAGTTCTTAGCTCCCTCCCACCTACACAAAGACTTCCTAGCACCCGTGTCCTGTGTGCGGAGCCCTGTGCCAAGGCACTTTCTTCCTGTATCTCTTGGAATCCTTCAGCAGCCCTGCCGGGGAAAGCAGGCTTATCACCACTGCTGTCATCATTTCATTGTCATCAGTTTATTTTTTACTGGAGGAAACTCGAGAGTGGCTAGGACTTGCCTTTGATCATCCTCTCTCCTCTTTAGACAAATTGGCCCTGGGTGCTTCCCTTCCCCTGTCCTTGATTCATGTCACAGCCTGACACGAGGACTTGGGTGTCCTTTAATTTCCCAGTGGAGATTCCATTCGTGTGTGGCTGACTGTGGCCGTGGTGTCTGGTCCTGACTGGCTTCAGGGCTGGGGCTGAGAGACTGAGCCACATGCTCCCCTCCCAAGGGAGGCTGCCCTGCCTGGGAGGTCAGGTGTGCCCCAGGATCTCCGCCCACCTGCTCACGCCTGCGATGCTCTCCTTTCAGTTCCTCCCGAGGAGCCCCAGCTCTCCTGCTTCCGGAAGAGCCCCCTCAGCAATGTTGTTTGTGAGTGGGGTCCTCAGAGCACCCCATCCCCGACCACCAAGGCTGTGCTGTTGGTGAGGAAGTTGTAAGTATCTTGGGCTGAGCTGCGAGCATATCTGCTGCCTCCTTCCTGAGGTCCCCAGAGAGGGGCTGGTTCAGATGATTCCAAACGTTATCATTAGGAAGTAATTCCTTCAGGCTGAGGAAGAGGAGGTGAGAGGGAACTGAGATTTACATTTGGCTGTCCCCCTGAACCGGGCCCTGTGCTTGGAACCTTGTCCTATTCACTTGACCTTGGCTATCACAACAGCTATGGGAAGTGGGGATTATTCTCACTTAACAGATGGAGAGACTGAGGCCCAGAGACTGATTAACTGGGTTTGGGTCACTTAGCTAGTAAGTGGCTCTGCTGGGAATTCAATCTCAGTCTGTCTGATTTCATTCAAAGTCCAAAGGTTATGGGCGTTGCTCTAAAAACATGCAGACGTCCCTGGGAAGGACAGCCAGCCCATTATCAGTGTCTGAGCCTGTGGGCACTTCAGGCTATTTCCATGATAAAGGCACGAGAGAAAGTGGTAATGGGCAGGGGAGAGGGAGCTGGGGGCCCTGGGGCGAGAAGTCACACCCGCATGGGGGTCCCTGCGCCATCACTGGAAGACCTGGGATTCGATCAGTCATGGATGTAGAGGAGGTGGAAGATGCTGAAAACAAATCTGTCTCTGCAGTTTTGCCGGTCCCCATCCCAGAGCCACGGTCTCCCTAGTCCAGAGGTTTACAGTTGAGTTTGAGCTGTCAGTCATCAGAATACCGCGGCAAGGAGGACACGTTCCAAGACCCTTAGTGGATGCTTGAAAATGCAAATGGTGCTGAACCCTGTATAAACTATGTTTTTCTATAGACATGTCTTATGATAGCTTATAACTTAGGTGCAGTAAGAGGTTAGCAATAATAATAACATAGAACGATGCTAACAACACACTGTAATAAAGGTTGTTATGTGAATATGGTCTCTCTCTTTCTCAAAATGTCTTTTTTTTTTGAGACAGAGTTTCGCTCTTGTTACCCAGGCTGGAGTGCAATGGCGCGATCTTGGCTCACCGCAACCTCCGCCTCCTGGGTTCAGGCATTTCTCCTGCCTCAGCCTCCTGAGTAGCTGGGATTACAGGCACGTGCCACCAGGCCCAGCTAATTTTTTGTATTTTTTAGTAGAGACGGGGTTTCACCATGTTGACCAGGATGGTCTCGATCTCTTGACCTCGTGATCCACCCACCTCAGCCTCCCATAGTGCTGGGATTACAGGCGTGAGCCACCGCGCCCGGCCCTCAAAATGTCTTATTACTGTACTCACCCTTCTTGTGATGATGTAAGGTCATGAAATGCCCGCACGACGAGATGAAGTGAGGTGAAAGACGTGTAGGCATTGTGACTCGGTGGTAGGCTACTACCAACTCTCTGACTATGTGTCAGAAGGAGGATCACCTGTTTTGGGTCACTCTGGTAACCGAGCTGTGATGCTGGTGGTGGATGTCAGGTCGAGCGACGGGTAGCATGCACAGTAGAGGAATGCTGAACAAAGCGATGATTCATGTCCTGGGTGGGACGGCATGAAATTTCATCACACTTCTCAGAACAGTGGGCAGTTTAAAACTTCTGAAGTGCTAATTTCTGGAATTTTCTGTTTAATATTTTTGGACCGCAGTTGACCACAGGTAACTGAAATCTGAGAAAGCAAGACCTCAGATAAGGCAGGACTACCGAATCAGAAAGCCAGAGCAGTGACTTCAACGGGGTGGTTCGGCTCCCAGTTGGGTCTGTTTCCACGGAGTTGCAGTTACATCTTTGTTCTGTCTTCTACGCTGGAAAGTGCGGATTACCCATTTGCAAATGATGTAGCTGCCATTACCTCTGTAGTTCATGCCGCCAGGCCAGATCGCTTCACAGCCCAGTGAAGGATACGCCTTGGTTTGTACCACAAAGGCTTGTACCATAGACAAGATTAGGCAGGACGGTGGCTGGCAGCTTCCCAGGCCAGCCCATGGAAAGCTCTGTCATTTCTGACACTTCAACCAGAATGTTTTTTTTTTTTTTTTGAGAGGGAGTCTTGCTCTGTCACCCAGGCTGGAGTGCAGTGGCGCCATCTCAGCTCACTGCCATCTCTGCCTCCAGGGCTTAAGCGATTCTCCTGCCTCAGCCTCCTGAGCAGCTGGGACTACAGTTGTGCACCACCACACCCAGCTAATCTCTGTATTCTTAGTAATGATGGTAGAGTTTCACCATGTTGGCCAGGTTGGTCTCAAACTTCTAACCTTAGGTTACCAGCCTGCCTTGGCCTCCAAAAGTGCTGGGATTACAGGCATGAGCCACCGACTGGAATACTTTCTATGTTGACAGTGGGAGTAGGAGAGGATGCAGTGTCACAGCGCTGGCGTCATCTGCTCTGAAGAGTCAGCATGGTCACTGGGCATCTTTGAAGTGAGGAGAGAGCAGGGGAAGTGGCTGCAAGAGCCTCAGGGGCCCCAGCACCCACTCAGGTGCCACTCAGACCTCCGGATGCTGCAGGGCCTGGAAGAGACAGGCCCTTGGAAAGGGATCACTGGGAGCTCTGCTTTTTCTCTGGTGTGTCTGCTTTCATACTCTTGCCCAACTGCAGTACTGCTCACCCCTTCTTCCACAGGCGTGGGTGAGCTCAGCCTCCACCTTTGACCAGGGGCGGTGCTGGGGCAGTGGGAGAGATGCAGGCCAGTAAGACTGAGTCCTGCCCTCTTACCCCGCCTGGGCATAGGCGTAGAGCAGTCGCTGACCCTGCCTTCCCAGTGTGGCTGGATGGAAGTTTGGGTGGTGTTGGGGGAAGGAGGAAGGGGACTTTCATTCAGCCTGGGAAGGTTGAGTTTGTCTCATGTGCTGGACTCGGTGGGAGCCCAAGGTTCAAACCTCAGTCAGAGGTGGGAGACTCGTCACCCCAGCCGCAGAGTGGCCTCGCATGCCCACATGTGTCATAAGAGAGTGAAGCCTCAGGTTTCCAGGACAGGTGGGATGGTGGCTGACTCACCTCGAATGTCTTCAGTCACCCAGCATTCTTTTCTGGACTCACCTGCCAAAACCCCTCAAGCACTTTTTGTGTCTCTGAAGTGGCATTTCTGTTGGGTATCTAGTCATCTGAGGATAGTTTTTTTTTTTTTTTTTTTTTTTTTGAGACAGAGTCTTGCTCTGTCGCCCAGGCTGGAGTGCAGTGATGCGATCTTGGCTCACTGCAACCTCCGTCTCCTGGGTTCAAGCGACTCTCCTGCCTCAGCCTCCTGAGTAGCTGGAGTTACAAGTGTGTGCCACCATGCCTGGCTAATTTTTTGTATTTTTAATAGAAATGGGGTTTCACCATGTTGGTCAGGCTGGTCTCAAACTCCTGACCTTGTGATACACCCACCTTGGCCTCCCAAAGTGCTGGGATTACAGGCGGGAGCCACTGCATCTGGCTGACAGATCTTTTTGGTTAATGCCTTGAAGCCAGGGTGGGGCCGCTCTTGATTCATTTCTACATCCCCTAAAGTGCAAAGAGCACAGGCCTGGCGGGAGACCGGAGCTGGCCAGCCCTCTGTTGCCTGAGTGACTGGCTGAGCCCTCCAGCCTAGCCCCTCTCACCTCTTGTGCCAGGCACTACAGGTTTATATATATTTATAAATCTAGCTAGTTTCTTTGTCTCTAGATTTTACGTTTATTTCTCAATCTTAACAGAACTGGCTGGGCACGTTGGCTCATGCCTGTAATCCCACCACTTTGGGAGGTGGAGGAGGTGGAGGGGGGATGATCACCTGAGGCAAGGGTTCAGGACCAGCCTAGCCAACATGTTGAAACCCCCGTCTCTACTAAAAATACAAAAATTGGCCGGGCGTGGTGGCTCACACCTGTAATCCAAGTACTTTGGAGGCCAAGGCGGGTGGATCACCTGAGGTCTGGAGTTCAAGACCAGCCTGACCAACATGGTGAAACCCCATCTCTATTAAAAATACAAAAATAAGTTGGGTATGCATGGGAGGCCAAGGCAGGAGAATCACTTGAACCCAGGAGGTGAAGTTTGCAGTAAGCCGAGATTGCACCATTGCACTCCAGCCTGGGTGACAGAGGGAGATTCCATCTCAAAAAAAAAAAAAAAAAGCCAGGTGTGGTGGCTCACGCCTGTAATCCTAGCACTTTGGGAGGCTGAGGTGGGCAGATCATGAGGTCAAGAGATTGAGACCATCCTGGCCAACATGGTGAAACCCTGTCTCTACTAAAAATACAAAAATTAGCCTGGTGTGGTGGTGCACATCTATAGTCCCAGCTACTCCGGAGGCTGAGGCAGGAGAATCGCTTGAACCGAGGAGGCAGAAGTTGCAGTGAGCCGAGATAGTGCCACTACACTCCAGCCTGGCGACAGAGCAAGACTTCGTCTCAAAAACAAGCAAGCAAACAAAACTCTGGAGCCGGGATTCCACTTCCCCCTGCTCTCCCCTCTTGAGTCTGTGCAGAAACTGACAGACGAGCCCTGCCTTGTTTCGTGTCTAACAGTGATAACAGTCCAGCCAAAGACTTCCAGGAGCCGTGCCAGTATTCCCAGGAGTCCCGCAAGTTCTCCTGCCAGTTGGCCGTCCCAGAGGGAGACAGCTCTTTCTACATAGTGTCCCTGTGCGTCGCCAGTAGTGTCGGGAGCAAGTTCAGCAAAGCGCAAACCTTTCAGGGTTGTGGAATCTGTACGTAAGCTCTTCCCCGCTCCAGCAGTTTCCTTCTCTTTTAATGTGATCCTCCTTATGGACTTCTCGGAGGGGCAGGGAAGAGGTGGTGGAGGGGTCTGGTGGGTTGGTGCATTTTGGGCATTGCTTGCCGGGAAGTGTGGCAGTGATGAAGCAGGGCCTTGTGGTGCTGTGCATGGGGAGTGAACGGGGCTGGGTGGGGCCCAGCCTGCTGGGATCTCAGCCTGCCTGGACTTCCCCGCACTGTATTTGCTGCTGCATAAAGTCCATGCTCCCTTTTCCCACAGTGCAGCCCGATCCTCCTGCCAACATCACAGTCACTGCTGTGGCCAGAAACCCCCGCTGGCTCAGTGTCACCTGGCAAGACCCCCCCTCCTGGAACTCAACTTTCTACAGACTGCAGTTTCAGCTCCGCTATCGGGCTGAACGATCAAAGACATTCACAACATGGATGGTAGAGTTATGTTTTACTTCTGGTCAGAAAGGTGCTCCCAGATGCTTGAGTATAGGAGAAAGGGTACTGGAGGCCGGGTACAGTGGCTCAGGCCTGTAATCCTGGCACTGCGGGAGGCTGAGGTGGGTGCATCACCCAAGGTCAGGAATTCAAGACCAGCCTGGCCAACATAGTGAAACCCTGTCTCTCCTAAAAACACAAAAATGAGCCAGGCGTGGCAGCACGTGCTATAATCCCAGCTACTCCGGGGGCTGAGACAGGAGAATCGCTTGAACCCAGGTGGTGGAGGTTATTGTGGGTAGAGATCGCACACTGCACTCCGGCCTGGGTGAGACTCCATCTCAAAGAAAGAAAGAAAGAAAGAAAACCATAGGCTCTAGGTCCTGCTTCACAATTGGCTACCTTTGTGGCCGTGGATAAATGTTGTAAGCTTTCTGAGCCTTGGTGGTCTCATTTATTAAATGAGCAGGATAATGCCAGGCCAGTCTCCTCTTCCCAGGCCTGTCTGTGAGGAGAGCAATGTGGGAAGAGGTTTGGGCTATAGACACATCAAGGGTTGTGGCTTGTCTGATTCTATAGTGCAGGGGTGGGGCGGGGACTTTGCGATTCAACTTCCGTGGGCCCTGAGGGCAACCCCCTCTCTATCGGAGCCTTCGGGGAGGTGGGAGCCTCTGGGGGCCTCTGCCAGCCAAAGCACAGGGCTGACCAAGGCACCAACCTGCTAGGGAGCTGCGTGCCTAGCACCACCCTAGGCCCCTCCTCAGAGTCACTGTGCCCCCACCCTCAGGTCAGGGACCTCCAGCATCACTGTGTCATCTACGACGCCTGGAGCGGCCTGAGGCACGTGGTGCAGCTTCGCGCCCAGGAGGAGTTCGGACAAGGCAAATGGAGCGAGTGGAGCCCAGAGGTCATGGGCACACCTTGGACAGGTACGGCAGTGGGCACCGAGGGAGGAAGGGATGTTTCAACTCTCACTGCATCAGCTATCCATTGCGATGTGACAAGTGGCCTCAAAATGAGTGGCTTAGGCCAGGCACGGTGGCTCACACCTATAATCCCAGCACTTTGGGAGGCTGAGGCGGGTGGATCACCTGAGGTCAGGAGTTCGAGACCAGCCTGGCCAACATGGTGAAACCCCATCTCTAGTAAAAATACAAAAATTAGCTGGATGTGGTGACAGGTGCCTGTAATCCCAGCTACTCGGGAGGCTGAGGCAGGAGAATCGCTTGAATCCGGGAGGTGGAGGTTGCGGTGAGCCGAGGTTGGGCCATTGTACTCCAGCCTGGGCGACAAGAGTGAAACTCTGCTTCAAAAAAAAAAAAAAAAAAGCAAAAAACGAGTGGCTTAAAACAACAACCATTTATCTCCTTGAGATTCAAAAAATACAGTCGGTTAGGCAGCTCTTCTGCTGGTGTTGCCTGAATCAGGAATGCAGCTGCCATCAGATCAGGATGGTCCGAGGTGGCCTCGCTGACATGTCTGACGATGGTGCTGGCTGGTGGCCAGGGCCCTCAGTTCTCCCTGTGCTTCTCATCCTCAGCTGCCAGCCCAGACTCAGGGCAGGCGGGTGGGGATGCCGCCACAGCTGGAGGGACCAGCTGCAGAGAAGTTAGCTGTATTTAATCCAGGGTAGTTACTCATACTTTTTATTTTTTTCAAATGTTAAAGGTAATAATAATTGCCATTTGGGGAGTGTTGAAATTAGCATGTTTGTTGTAGAACATGAAAAATTCCAGAAAAACGTGAAAATAATAATTATCACCAGTATTTTTATTACCTAGAGAAACAGTAAGATCATGTTAGTATGCGGCTTTCTTTTTTCTAGATACATGTGTGTGTTTATATGTATAAATGTAATATTCCTCATGTTGTCAATTACTTTTGGAAACATTATTTAGTAACTGCATGATTAATGATTAATATGTATATTTTAAAACCCTGTGGAATTTTTTAAAAACTTAACTTTTTTTTTTTTTTTAATTTTTTATTGGATTTTAGGTTTTGGGGTACATGAGCAGAGCATGTAAGACAGTTGCGTAGGAACACACATGGCAGTGTGCTTTTCTTTCCTTCTCCCCTTCACCCACATTTGGCACTTCTCCCCAGGCTATCCCTCCCCACCTCCTCCTCCCACTGGCCCTCCCCTTTTCCCCCCAATAGACCCCAGTGTTTAGTACTCCCCTTTCTGTGTCCATGTGTTCTCATTTTTCATCACCCGCCTATGAGTGAGAATATGCGGTGTTTCATTTTCTGTTCTTGTGTCAGTTTGCTGAGGATGACGTTCTCCAGATTCATCCATGTCCCTACAAACGACACAAACTCATCGTTCTACTATAAGGACACATGTACACGAATGTTCATTGCAGCACTGTTTACAATAGCAAAGACCTGGAATCAACCCAAATGCCCATTGATAATAGACTGGATTGGAAAAATGTGGCACATATACACCATGGAATATTATGCAGCAATCAGAAACTTTTTTTTTTTTAAACGGAGTGTCACTTTGTCGCCAGGCTTGAGTGCAGTGGCACGATCTTCGCTCACTACAACCTCCGCCTTCCAGGTTGAAGTGATTCTCCTGACTCAGCCACCCGAGTAGCTGGGACGACAGGCTCATGCCACCATACCTGGCTACGTTTTGGCTGACCACTTTCTGGGTTGTGGTCAGGGAGATTCCTGCATTCTAGGTCTAAATCCTAACCTTCCATAGCAGGGTATTGATAGATAATACCTCAAATTGTTTTATCAGGAAAAAAAGAAAGCCATATAAGCTTGTTTAGAGTTAAGGAGGGCACCAGCAGAATAACTAGAAACAGAAAGCGTCAAGCAGCTTCCTTAGAAAGCAGGAGTAGAAATGGAAGGTGTGGGACAAGGGACCACTGCTCAGTGTTATAAGCTGTTTATTACTTCTTTGCCATGTGTATGTATTAATTTGATAAAAAATTTTAGAAGTTTAGCCAGGTGTGGTGACTCACACTAGTAATCCCAGCACTTTGGGAGGCCAAGGCGGGTGGATTGCTGGAGGCCAGGGAGTTCCAGACAAACCTGGGCAACATGGCGAAACCCCATCTCTACAAAAGATTTTTAAAAATTAGCCGGGCGTGGTGGCCCGTGCCTGTGGTCCCAGCTACTTAGGAGGCTGCAGTGGGAGGATTGCTTGAGCCCAAGAGGCAGGGGTTGCAGTGAGCTGTGATTGTGCCATTGTACTCCAGCCCGGGCAACGAGGAGAAACCCTGTCTCAAAAAAAAAAAAAAAAATGTTGGCCAGGTGCAGTGGCTCATGCCTGTAATTTCAGCACTTTGGGAGGCCGAGGCAGGCAGATTATGAGGTCAAGAGATTGAGACCATCCTGGCCAACATGGTGAAACCCCATCTCTCCTAAAAACACAAAAATTAGCCAGGCATGGTGGTGTGAGCCTATAGTCCCAGTTTCTCAGGAGGCTGAGTCAGGAGAATCGCTTGAATGCTTCCAGAAACAGAGAGCTTACTACCCCTTGTAGCAATCTGTTTTATTGTTCCCAGGGTTTTTGTTGTAGATGGCTTCCTGGCTTATGTTGGGGTCAAATGTTTCTAGCCCTGTAGCATAGTTGAACCAAATTAATCATTCTCAAATACTTGGCAGTTAGAACAAAAAAAGATTAAGATACCCATTTATTTGACTAAGTATGGATAAAAAGGAAAAGCTAGAAATGCTATCAGTCCCATCCCTACCCCTGCCACTTTCTCCTAGCCCTGGCCCAGGGAGAGAAGCGTTTTACCTACAGGCTGCGCATTCTTCCCCCAGATTGGATGGTGGGGGGTGATGGCTCTTCCTCCTGGCTGGCTTTGTACTGCGGGTCCTGGTCCCTTGCCCTTCCTGTGCTGGGGAGAGCCAGAGGAGTAGGCTGGGGGCTAGGATGAAATGCCAGCTGGATGCAGTAATACCAAGTGCAGGCTTCCGTCTTTGTTGGCACTTTCCCCGTTCATCAAGAACAGGAGCCAGCTTCCTATTGGGCCCTCTCCTCAGAAGCTTATTTCCCGCTCAGACCTGGATGAAGAGTGGGGCCTAACTACTACATCTTCCTTAGGAGACCATTCTAGTACCTGAGTACATCCTTCGGGGAGATGGTACTGACCTGTCGTGGTTTTCTTTCATTTGTATAGACTTGGAACCAAACATGCTCATTATCTGAATGCTAAGCATCAGTGTGGCTTTGGAGGCCTTTTCAAGGGGGAAAAATCAGCTCTAACATCATGCAGAGGAAGAGGAATTCCAGATATAGGCTGACCCCTATTTTACCTTTTATTCCAACCACTTAGTTTAGATAGTCACAAGCAGCTTTAAGCAGTCTCGTTTTGTTAAAGTTTCTTCTTCTAAAAATTTTTAAATTGTAAAATATACATAATATAAAATTTACCATTTATATTATTATTATTATTATTTGAGATGGAGTCTCACCCTGTTGTGCAGGCTGGAGTGCAGTGTCGTGATCTTGTCTCACTGTAACCTCTCCCTCCCGGGTTCAAGCAATTCTCCTGTCTCAGCCTCCAGAGTAGCTGGGACTACAGGCGCCTGCCACCACGCTGGCTAATTTTTGTATTTTTAGTGGAGACAGGGTTTCAACATATTAGTCCGGCTGGTCTTGAACTCCTGACCTCAGGTGATCTAGCCACCTTGGCCTCCCGAAGTGCTGGGATTACAGGCATGTGCCACCGTGCCCAGCCCATGGCACATATTATTTTTATTTTTATTATTTTTTAAAAATTTTTTTATTTCTCTCTCTTTTTTTAATCTAGGCTGGGGGGGAGAGAGAGACCCCATTTATATCATTTTTAAGTGCACAGCTCTGCGGCATTAAGTATCATTGTGCAACCATCACCACTGTACATCCCAGGACTTCATTTATCTTATAAAATTGAAACACAGAAGCTGTTAAATAGTAACTCCCATTCACCCACTCCTTCCCCCAGCTAAAGGCAACCACCATTCTACTTTCCTTCCCTGTGAGTTTGACTACTTTAGGTCCTTCCTTCCTTCCTTCCTTCCTTCCTTCCTTCCTTCCTTCCTTCCTTCCCTCCCTCCTTCCCTCCCTCTCTCTCTCCTTCCTTCCTTCCTTCCTTCCTTCCTTCCTTCCTTCCTTCCTTCCTTCCTTCCTTCCTTCCTTCCCTGCCTCCCCCCTTCCCTCCCTCTCTCTCCTTCCTTCCTTCCTTCCTTCCTTCCTTCTTCCCTCCCTCCCTCCCTTCCTCCCTCTCTCCATTCCTCCCTTCCTTCCTTCCTTCCTTCCTTCCTTCTTTCCTTCCCTCCCTCCCTCCCTCCTTCTCTTTCTTTCTCTCTCTCTCTCTTTCTCTTTTTTTGAGACAGAGTCTCACTCTGTCACCCACCCAGGCTGAAGTGCAGTATTGCAATCTCAGCTCACTGCAACCTCTGCCTGCCGGGTTCAAACGATTCTCCTGCCTCAGCCTTCCAAGTAGCTGGAATTACAGGCGCCTGCCACCACACCTGGCTAATTTTTGTATTTTTAGTAGAGTTGGGGTTTCACTATGTTGGCCAGGCTGGTCCTGAACTCCTGACCTGGTGATCCAGCCACCTCAGCCTCCCAAAGTGCTGGTATTACAGGTGTGCGCCAATTTTCATGGCAATGCCATACTGTTTCCACAGTGGCTGCACCATTTTACACTTACATTAGAGTGTATTAGGGTTCCGATTTCCCCACATGCTTGCCAGCACTTGTTTTCATTTTGTTACAATAGTCCTCTTTATGGATGTGAAGTGTTATCTCACTGTGGTTTTGATTTGCATTTCCTAATAATTACCGTCTTTTTTTTTGTTTTTTAAGACAGAGTCTCTCTCTCTCTCTCTCTCTCTCGTCCAGTCTGGACTGCGATGGGACAATCTTGGCTCCCTGCAACCTCCACCTCCCGTCTTCAAGTGAATCTCATGCCTGAAC